GGGATGACATATGTTACGTTGCTCACGCCTTGCTCTGTGTCGTCACGTCAAACGTGCCTTCGACCTGGCTCGTCGTCGTCGCAGGAACGTCGTCGACGGCCGACGGGGCGTCCGGGGCGTCCGACCCGAGACGCTGGGACCCTGGTCCCCGGCGCCGACGTCGCACGACGGCGATGACGGCGACCACAAACACGACAGCTGCGATGCCGGCGGCCGCCGCGAGACCCGCGTTGTCTTGGACAAGGTGCTGCACGGTCACGTCAAAGCTGGCGACACTCGCGACCTTGGCCGTCACCGAGTACTGCAGCGGCTGGTCGTCAAAGGCTCGCTTCTGCGACGGCGTCTGGCACACGCCTTCGTTAGCCTCGGCGACCGCGAGGTAGTTCACAGGCACGTTGTCGGCCCCGAGAAAGCTGCAGCTGCTCACGTGGAAAGGGTCGGCCGCGTTCGTGGGGCTCTGGAAGAGGCAGAGCCGGAACGTGCCTTCGATCTGCAGCACGTTGTGGAGAATGCAGCGCGCGCCGAGCACGATGTGATAGCGCGAGTCGTTGCCTTGCATCTCGATCGAGGTGTAGTTCAAGTCGAAGGTCGAGCACACCGCCGGGAGATTGTAGGCGGCGAACGCGCGGGCGACGGACGCGCCCACGGGCTTGGGCAAGGCCATCTTGTTGATCGAGATCCACTCGACCTTGGTCCGGCGGCCGTGCTGTTGGTGTCGTACAGGGCAGACGCCGGCATCGTTGCCGGGGCCGTCGTCGGCTGCACCGTCGCCGTGGGCAGCGCCGCGGGCAGGGTCGGCTTGACCGTTGCTGCCGCTGTTGGCTTGACTGTCACCAGGGCTTGCCGCGCATCCTTCTCGTCTTCGTTTTCGCCATCGTCGTCGTCGTCCTCATCTTCGTCGTCGTCCTCGTCGTTGTGTTGGTGCCGCCGGCGCGTTGTGGGCGCAGGCGTTGGTGGCTTCGTCGTTGCCGCAATCGTGGGCGCAGTCGCGTTGGCAGCGGTGGCGTTGGCGGCGCCGGCGGCCGGCGGCATCGTCGTCGGTGCTGGTTCGTCACTCATCTCTTCCGGGCACAAGTTAAAGTCGCAGTCGTAGTAGACGTTGCGGTAGACGCGCGAGCCGTCGGCGCAGACTTTGTGGTCGTGCTTGCAGCCCTTCTTGTGGCCCATGGAAGACGCGTCCGAGAGCGCGAGGAAGGCCATCGCCGCGCAGAGCACCGCTCGCTGCATGCTTGTCGCTTGGAATATCCGGTGACTTACGAAATGGAACGCGACAAGCTGGATCGGCGGAACGTCCGGATACGAGCCATCCGGATACGCGCGCGCGAGGACGATCGCAAGGGTGATCGAACCCCGACGACGACCTGCCGGCCCTATTGGAGGTTTAGCACGTCAAGCAGTACGTCCAAGCAGTAGCTGTCGATAAAGCACGTACGCGTCCTGGTAGGTACGCGACTGCGTGCGCCCGCAGAAACGGCGCTGGTTGTCTTCCCGCCAAACTCTAAATGTTTACGGGCATTCGAGTGTGAAACGTCATTGCACTTGGCGGCGCAGAGGACAACGAACAATGCAAGTGCTCGCGTGTGCTGGCGGACAAGGTGTCCAGACTCTTGTGTTGCAGCTTGCACAAGGAGGCTACAACATACCGGTATCGTAGCGTCGCTGGTCCGGACGTCGTTCCGGATGTGTGGCGTCGTTCGGATTCCAGTGCGAGCATCCGAGCAATGTGACAAACTACGACGCACCCCAGACGAGCGAAAGACGGCTTCACGACGGTACCTAATGCCATATTACCTGGTAGCAACGGTTGCGCTCTTTTGCATGCCATTGTTTGTGCACCAGCTCACGCGGTCAGCTTGCCGATGGACGCAACACGGTCGATCGTCAACCCCTCCTCTCCCCATTTTGTCCCACACCGTCAGACGGTATCTTTTTCTTTCAGTGCCAAGCGCCCGGCACAGTGGCGCGGGCGTCCAGAGTCCAGAGACAGCGGGCGAATATATGTCCACGCCACGATGATGATGGACTGCCCGCTTGGTCTACTTCCAACGCGACCCTCGTTCCACGAGTCGCTGGGTGCAGACCTCCCTCTCCACCACCAAACCACGAAACACGATTTCGTAAGAAACACAAAAACACAATATTGTCATCAGTCGATACGCGTCGCTCAGTACTTGTAGTTCGTGCGGTTGGTGTACACATACGTCTGGAATTCGGGCTCGCAGAACGGAAACTTGATCGTTTGCGGCGTCGGCGAGAACAAGGCCTTGCCCGTGTTGACGCTCACATAGATCGCCAGCGCCGACGTGACAAGGATCGAGAGGATCGCAAAGATCTTTTCGGGCAGCCCCATCGTGTGTCGGAACGTGCGGAGGTAAAACGCAATCGGGAGAATCGTGCAGCAGAGCGACGTGGCCGACGCGCCGACAAAATCCAAGAGGTCGCTAAACTTGTTCTTGAAGACGATCGCAATGACGACGCAGAGGACGACCATGACGATGCGGAGGATCGCGGCCTTGAGGTACGCGCCCGGCGCCTGGTACGCCGCCGAGGGGTCGAGCACGTCGTCTTCTTCGTCGGCCACGTCGGCCACGGCCGCGTCCGCCGTCTTGGTCTCTCGACATCGACGTACGCCGGCGCGTTGAGCGTAAAGCGCTCCTTGTGTAGACCGAGAATGAGACGCTCGGCGATAAACATGGCCGGAAAGAGGACAAGAGCAAACGCAATCGAGATGTGCAGCTGCATGAAGAGGAACGAGAGGATGACGCCGCCGCGCGACGCCGTAAAGCCGAGGCTGTCGCCAATGATGGCAAAGAGGAGGTTGCCGGGAATCTGGCAGCCCATGGTAAAGTCGCCGCAGATCGAGATGAGGAGGAAGAGGACGGTAATGACGGAGATCGTCACCGTGATCACGCGCGGCATGCGCTCGGGCTGCGAGTGTTCGCGCTGGAGCGACGGAATGATGACGCCGGCGCCGTACGCGAGCGAGAGGTTGCCAAAGACCGTCGTGACGCCTTCGAACGTGATGTGCGGGGACGGCGGCGAAATGCCCGACGGCATCGGCGTCGTGTTGTCAATCAAAATGTAGAGCGCAATGACGTCGGCGAAGACGGTGCCGAGGGCACCGGCCGCAGCGGTGCCGGCGCCGTCCTTGAGTGTCGGGATGAGGCAGACGGGGAGGAGCGAGAGACCCATGAGGGCGATCCACGTCGAGTCGTCGTACGAGTTGGGGAACAAGACCGTGAGCAAGGTGCCGCCAAGCACCAAGAAGACAATCGGGACCATCGTGCAGACCAGCATGTGCGTGATGACGGTGACCCAGCGACCGGTCTTGCCAAAGACCCACTCGCCCATGTCGCCGAGCGTCTGGACCTTCTTGGGTGCGACGAGCATGACTTTGGAGATGCACACTAGGCGTACATGTTGATGGCGGCCATGAAGACGAGCGCGATCGAGGCCCAGACGTAGCCGGCACGGGCGTAGTTGCCCGGCATACCGAGAGAGCCAATGCCAAAGGCAACGCAGAAGAGCGAGAAGCACGTCTTGAGATCTTCGAGCGTCAAGAACGCCATGCTGTGCTGGAGGTGGCGAAATCGAAAGTGAGTGCATTCGTTTCGCGGGCCGAGCGGGCGGTTGAACTTGCAAAGCAAAGGGTTTTGCGACAAGGGTCACTCGTCGACCGACGTAGAGGCCACCCAGGTGAGCCAAGCGCTTTAGCTCTCGGCCATTGTATGGCGGCGCGCCTCGTGTCCGCTGTAATGGGTTGCCGATAGCTTCACCACGAGGTTAACCTTCTGCCAGGTGGCGCGAAAGCCTCGTGTCCCATTGGGTCGATGAGCTGCGACAACCGACGCCGGCGCCGGAGATGCGGCGTCCGAGCGAAACACCGATGACGTCCGCTGCGAATCTGATCAGTGATGAACGACAACGAAAGGTCGTCTGAGAAGAGAGACGAGCGGACTTCGTATTCTACGACCGCAAGTGGTTGGCGTCAAGGCGCATCCACAATGCTGCGCCGATCGGCAGAAGCGATCTCGGGAGAGAGTGTACACAGAGACGCGTGCCCGAGAGATATACAAGTACACGCCCTGCCGCCTAGGTGCTGGAACAAAGGGGCGAGGCGATGGGTGACGAGGACCGTACAATGTAAGAGATATCCAGCGCGGCGCGTCCCGAGGTGGGTATTTTTACTTAATGTAGCCACCTATCTTTCACCTTATAACAAGATGCGGCAAGGAAGGAATAATCGAGGTGCTTTCAATGTACACCAGAAAAGAATTCCCATAGCGACAAAGCGCTGATGGCACGCGTCCTGTAGGTCAACAACCTCCGATTGTGGATTGTGTTTTAGATGCCGCACCACCTGGAGGTTTAACCAAACATCCCACGGTAATGGAGAACGCCTCGTCTATGAAAAAACCGTACGAAGCCCAATAGGGAAGTTTAGTCCGTTGGCTCTTCGTCGCCCCCCCGTGGGTCATCGTGGGGCCCAGAGCCAAGCGGGCAGTAAAAAGGGCGCGATTGGTAACCCGAATGAACGGGCTCGAAGTGGGATTGCGCTATAGATTTGTATCCAGCGTGGGACCGTTCACGAGAATCCGCCAGAAAGACGAACGGTAGAGTCGCTCGGCGGCGGGCCGTCGAATGGGACGAAGCCACCCAAATGACGTTCTCGCGGCGTCGATGCACAAAGGCTCGCAAGCGTCGTACTGCCTTGGGCTACGAGGTACTCCCAGTTATGTGTAGTATTGCTGCGCGCGCTATTATCTAACTATATTACTATCACGAGTCCCGCCCGGTCGTTAACGCTGTTTCGAGGGATTTTACCAGCATCCCATGACACTGTGGCATGCACTTTCGTGCCACCGCATATATATATATATGAACGTGTTCCGCGTTATCTTCATTGCAAAGACTTCGCATACGTAGTGCTATGTACGCCTGAATGCGTGCGTGTTGGCACCAGCACTTGGTCGTTGGGAGTGAGCTGCCATGTGAAAAAAATGATTTGGCTTACAGTATTCTTATTGTCTAGTAATGCCCGTTGAGATGAAAACTTGTATCTCCTATTGGAACACTCATGCAGACAATCAAATGCCTTTGAGGACTGAGGCGGTCCGTTGCTCTATGTGACGGTTCAAGATACGCTGTATTGTGTTTTAGTATTAAATACATATTTCAAGCCCACACGTGGCAAAGCGTTACACCAGCTGGCCACGGTGCAGACCGATCCATGATCAACCACTCCATTCTCTGACCACAATTGGTACCACGATGGACAATCTTGTCTTCGTGCGTCTGATATCTGATAACATCGACAATTCGAATCGTCCTCGGCACACACCATCATCAGGATGACGGCAAGGATCAAGCACGGAGGGGGTGCCGTCTCGTGATGGCGCCGGCACCGCGCTGGGGCCGAAAAGGCTACTACCGTCGTGTATGATGGGTTTCTTTCTACGCCGACAGATGCCAGCTCTATGAGCACCCGTGCTACAGTTTTGTCCGTACCGGTATATATACCATGTGCCGATATATAGGTGTGGTTGGCGCACGATGCGACTGCCCAAGTAGAGGCTCCCAAATTCACACATTTACATTTGATTACATACGTTTTTACACGCCAACCTTAAAAGTTGTAGTGGGTCTTGTTGGTGTACACAAAGTCCTGGAACTCGGCAGCGCAGAACGGGAAGCGCGGACCCGCCGGGCCGGGCGCGAACAAGGCCTTGCCCGTGTTGATCGTCACATAGATCGCCAGCGCCGACGTGACCAGGATCGAAAGAATCGCAAACGCCTTCTCGGGCAGCGACATGGTCTTGTAGAACGTCTTGAGATAGAAGATGATGGGCAAAATCATGCAGCAGAGTGCCGTGCAAGACGCGCCGACAAAATCCAAGAGGTCGCTAAACTTGTCCTTGAAGACGATCGCAATGACAACGCAGAGGACAACCATGACCGTACGAAGCACCGCCGCCTTGAGGTACGCACCCGGCGCCTTGTACGCATCGGCCGGGTCTGCCACGTGCACCGGGGCATCAGCCTTCTCAGCGTCGTCCTTGATTGGCGTCTCGAGGTCGTCATACGCAGCAGCGTCGGCGTCAAGCGTGAAGAGCTCCTTGTGCAGGCCGAGGACGAGGCGCTCGGCGATAAACATGGCCGGGAAGAGCACAAGCGCAAACGCAATCGTAATGTGGAGCTGCATGAAGAGGAACGAGAGGATGACGCCGCCGCGCGACGCTTCAAACCCGAGCTTGGTGCCCGTGATGGCAAAGAGGAGGTTGCCGGGAATCTGGCAGCCGACGACCGAGACGCCCGTGATCGAGATGATAAGGAAGAAGGTCGTGATGACGCCGAGCGTGACGGTAATGACACGCGGCATGCGCTCGGGCTGCGAGTGCTCGCGCTGGAGCGACGGAATGATGACGCCGGCGCCATACGCGAGCGCCAAGTTGCCAAAGACGGCCGTGACGCCGCTCACCGAGAGCTCGGGCGACGGCGGGGAAACGTTGGCAGGCATCGGTGTCATCTCGTCGACAAGAATGTAGAGCGCAATCACATCCGCAAGGATCGTACCGAGGGCGCCGGCAGCAGCGGTGCCGGCACCTTCCTTGAGTGTCGGGATGAGGCAGACGGGGAGGAGCGAGAGGCCCATGAGGGCGATCCACGTCGAGTCGGCGTACGAGTCGGGGAAGAGCACCGTGAGCAAAGTGCCGCCGAGGACGAGGAAGACAATCGGCACCATTGTGCAGACCAGCATGTGGGTGATGACGGTGACCCAGCGACCGGGCTTGCCAAAGACCCACTCGCCAATGTCACTTAGCGTCTGGACCTTCTTGGGCGCGACCATCATGACCTTGGAGATGCAGACCGAGGCGTAAATGTTGATGGAGGCCATGAACGCGAGTGCAATCGTCGCCCAGACGTAGCCGGCGCGGGCGTAGTTGCCCGGCATGCCGAGCGTGCCAATGCCATAGACGACGCAGAAGAGCGAGAAGCACATCTTCATGTCCTCCGTCGTCAGAAACGCCATCTTGTCGCGGACTCAAAGCAAGCAAAAGTGGAAATGAACTCGAAAAAGGAGCTATTAGACACGAGCTGCGTCGAGAGCCGAAAGCGAAGAGGGCAACCAGGTACTACTACTACGACCCGATCGTCGCTACACCGTGTTTGCGCCATACCTTGCTCGGCCACAAGCTGTGGGTACATGCCATTTGAACCTGGATAAAGCGACGTATAAACCCGTAGCAAGCTAGGCGACACCTTGGTGTTTGTATGCCGCGTCCTCGGACCGGTCACTGTAATGGGTGCTGCAGGTCCCCATAGCCTTCTCTTTCACCTGTGCAATCTACGGTCCACATCGCTTGACGCGCTCCTCAACACCAAGTCGAAATGGCAAATGCGGCCACTGCAAACGTACGCTGTTCTCAACCTCACGTATGCACAAGGGACACCGAGGTCGTTCGCACACTCAGACACCGATTCTCAGCCCAACAACCGAAATAGTCTGATCATACAAGCCTGTCGAGCGTCTACAACGGACCTAGCCGGTGCAAGTACTACTCACTGCAACCAGCGCAACCTGATTTGATAGAAGCACGTCAACGCTTCGTTCGCACTCGTACGACGTTGCGAGTGCGGTGTCTCTTTTGAAGAGCTCGTTGGGGATCCTTCCACAGCTCAATGCTTATCGTCGGTCTGCAGCAGGCGCGCCCCACCTCCGCTCCGTAACCTGCACATGCAGGATCAGGCTCATCGAGACCCCTATAACACGACCTCCTAGAAACCAAGCGCTTGTGCGAACCAGATTTCGGAACGAAGCGACCCTTGCCGTGCCATGGGTGCGTCGGAGCAACACTTGGTAGACAGCCGCGCTGCGTGCTAATCTCATGTTTGCGCAACGTGGTGGCGATTTCTGAGTAAGGTGACAGAGATCCGGACGCTTCGAGACATCCCACAGTGTCGGATCGTTGATGCTGAAGTGGGTGTGCGAGTAATGTCGTCCAAACAGAGCACCAGGTTTGCATCGGTCGTTTGCTCTCAGAAAGGCCATATCTCGTCTGCATACTTGACGCTTGTTGCATGCGGCTTTGTGCTTCAAGCCACGTGATCAGTCCATCGACCTCAGCGTCGATCGAGGCGCGCGACGCATCGTCTCGGACCAAGCGTTAGGATGGAAGAAGCGCTGCATGGGTGCCGGCGACACAGAACATCGCGACCAGAATGCAGCTGCGACACGAATGGGTGATGGATGCGGCTCCCCAAGCTCAAGCAGGAGACGAAGAAGGACCAAGCAATCATGATTTGCGTTCTGGGTGCAAGGCTCTGGATCTATCCACCTTCGCGGGCTTCAACCTTGGCAGTGCACTGCCAGCGGGTAGCTAGCGCGGTTGCACACGGGCCACTACTGTATTTCATGCAGCCAACTCGGTGTCATGCAAACACTCGGTAAATAGTGTCGAGAAGGGTACCGTGCCACGGCTATCCTGTACAGTGTGTGACCTGGGAAACCAGCATCGCGGTTTGGATTACCTACAGTGTAGTCTTTTGCTTGGTGTTGAAGGGACGCGCCGCAAACCTCGCTCGGTTCGTTGGACGAGCCTTTCTTGTCCGGTCATTGGCCTCGCTGGTGTAGTTGAAGACCACGCTTTTAAGAGCTGGAATGCGAGTTTGGAAGGATCTTTCCAAAGATTTGTGCTGGAATTGCGATCGGCGGCCACGTGCCATTTCTGAGCAAGCGTTGCGGACGCCCATGTGCATATCGTACATTGGTTGTCGTACCATTTTATTTGTTGTAAGTAAAGACTTTGTCATGTACGGGGCAGAGTGTGAATGGACGTTGTACGGTTCCCACGAAAACCCAGCAAAAAACTGGTCATCTTGGCGTCGACGTAGCATTATTCTTCCCGCGATTCTAGCCGATGGTTCTTTAGGAAATTGAACTTCATGGAAATCCTTGCACCGCCCAGCATACTTGACATCACATGGCCGTGACGAGGAGAAACGACCAATCATATCGCGTTCATTTCTGATCAGGTGCTCAGTTTGCACTTTGGCGCGACATGATTGGTTCAAATGCGAGGAATAGCGCCAGAAAGGCGAATCACGTGGCACACCAGGTGGACCGTTTGGATCTTGCACCTCGCCGATACTAAATGTGTGCTCAGAACACTCCGCGTGATCGCTTTCACATCGGCCACTGTTCAAACGATCATTTTACAATTTGCTTTGCGCCACCAACTACCATCATGGGCAAGCCATTCCTTACGTGGGAAGACGCCAAGATGTGCTTCTCGCTCTTCTGCGTCGTCTACGGCATCGGTACGCTTGGCATGCCGGGCAACTACGCCCGCGCTGGCTACTTCTGGGCGACCCTCGCGCTCGTCTTCATGGCGACCGTCAACGTCTACGCCACCGTCTGCATGAGCAAGGTCATGCTCGTTGCGCCCAAGACTGTCAAGACCTTTGGCGACATGGGCGAGTGGTGCATGGGTACGTTCGGCCGCTGGATTGCCGTCATCTCTCAAATGCTTGTCTGCGTCATGGTGCCGATTGTCTTCCTCGTCCTCGGCGGCACCTTGCTCACGGTGCTCTTCCCCGAATCGTACGCCGACTCAACGTGGATTATCCTCATGGGCCTTTCGCTCCTCCCCATCTGCCTCATCCCCAACCTCAAGGAAGGTGCCGGTGTGGCCGCGGCCGGTGCGCTCGGCACGATCCTTGCCGATGGTATTGCACTCTACCTCCTCGTCTCCAACATGCACGGCCCGTCGGCTGGCCTCTCGACGCCGTCGCCGGAGCTCACGTTTTCGGGCGTCACGGCCGTCTTTGGCAACCTCTCGCTTGCGTACGGTGCTGGCGTCGTCATCCCGTCGCTCCAGCGCGAACACAGCGACCCGACGCGCATGCCCCGCGTCATCACGGTGACGCTCGTCCTCGTCTCGGTGCTCTTCCTTGTCATTTCGATTACGGGCGTCTCGACCGTCGGCTGCCAAATCCCCGGCAACCTCCTCTTTGCCATCACCGGCACCAAGCTCGGGTTCGAAGCGTCGCCCGGTGGCATCATTTTGGCCTTCCTCTTCATGCAGATCCACATCACGGTCGCCTTTGCGCTCATTCTGTTCCCGGCCATGTTCATCGCCGAGCGCCTCGTCCTCGGCCTGCACAAAACGCGTTTGCCCTTGCGCCCGCGGACGAAGCGGCCAAGGATGCCATGTACGCGTCGCTCGAGACGCCGTCGGCGGACGCCAAGGTCCACGTCGAGACGAACCACGTCGACGATGAAGTCGTTGCGGCCTACGCCGCCCCGGGCTCGTACCTCAAGGCCTGCGTCCTCCGCACGGTCATGGTCGTGGTCATGGTCATTATTGCCATCATCTGGAAGGACCACTTCAGCGACCTCTTGGACTTTGTCGGTGCCTCCTCGACGGCGCTCAGCTGCATGATTTTGCCGATTGTCTTTTACCTCAAGACGTTCCGCACGACGCTCGGCGTGCCCGAGAAGGCGTTTGCGATCCTCTGCGTCCTCGTCACGTCGGCCCTCGCCGTCTATGTGACCTACACGACGGGCAAGAACCTCTTTGCGCCGTCGGCGGGCGACTCGTCGATCAAGTTCCCGTACTGCCCGGCCGAGTACCAAAAGATGGTCTACACCAACGCGACGTACTACAAGCACTAAGTCGTCGTCTGCCTTCCTTTGTAAGTATAAACTCTTGTTGAATGAAAACACGATTGCGTCCTAGAGTTGTCTGATGGCTGTTTTGCGCCTTTCGATACGAATAGATATCAGCGTGCTCTCGACCTAAGTCTCACCAAGCTCACACTACATGTAGTACTGAGATCGTTGGTGTCCCTCGACGACCTCGAGGATTTGCCTCGGTACCTCAAGATGTAGCAGTATTGGAAGGACCGTACTGAGATTATCGCCGTGGGCCTCACTCGGAGCTGCAAGTACCACTCGAGCCTCGCGCCAGTGCAGTCGCAGCCCAGCGAGCGAGTGAAGTACTAGTAGAAGTAGATGCCGAATCTACGTCTATGACGAAGGCTTATTGTATGAAGAAGCGCGAAATACGATACTATGTTTGTACATCGAAAGAGGCCAGCGTGATCCCAGCCAGCAATGACTTTGTTCCTTGGCACAGGCAGAGACGCAAAGACTGACCCTTTGGACTCATGCAACGCACTTATGCACGCCACTGACGGTGACTCTCGCGTAGCCATAATCTGTGCGACCTTTGAAACGCTGTTTGTGCAGCATTTAAATATTCTGTTTTGCGACCTTTGAAACGCTGTTTGTGCAGCATTTAAATATTCGATCCATCGTCCACGACCTCCTTTCTATCGTAAGCAGTTGACCGATCGATCCATCGTCCACGACCCCCTTTCGATCGTCAACAGACACTGCCAGCAGCTCGCACACGTTCAGCAAGCACATCAATGTCCACCGAGTTTCGAATATACACACACTACATTTGATTTTACGTGAACAAAACACAGGCGATCACCGGACGCGTCTAGAGCTTCTTGCCGCTGTAGTACGATCACCGGACGCGTCTAGAGCTTCTTGCCGCTGTAGTACGTCGTGTTGGTGTAGACCATTTGCTGGTACTCGGCCGGGCAGTACGGGAACTTGATCGCCGGGTTGGCCTGGCCGGGCGCAAAGAGGTGCTTGCCCGTCGTGTACGACACATAGACGGCAAGCGCCGACGTGACGAGGACGCAGAAGATCGCAAACGCCTTCTCGGGCTTGGACAGCGTCGCGTGGAACGTCTTGAGGTAAAAGACGATCGGCAAAATCATGCAGCTCGTCGACGTCGACGACGCACCGACAAAGTCGACCAGGTCCGTAAAGTTGTCCTTCCACAGAAGCGCCACGACCACCATGATGGCGACAACGACCGTGCGCAAAATGCACACCTTGAGGTACGCGCCCGGCGCGTTGTAGGCGGCGGCGCTGCCCGAGTCGTGCTCGGCCGTCGCATCGTGGACCTTGGCGACGTCAGCAGTGTTGGTCTCGTTCGGGGTCTCGGCGATGGCGAAACCGGGCTCCTTGGCTTCTTCGTCAACGACATCCGCGAGCGCAAACGCCGACTTGTGCATGCCGAGGATGATGCGCTCCATGATGAAGAGCGCCGGGTACAGAATCAACGAGAACGCGATCGTGATGTGGAGCTGCATGAAGAGGAACGCGAGGATGACGCCGCCGCGCGACGCCTTGAAGCCGAGCTTGTCACCGTTGACGGCAAAGAGGAGGTTGCCGGGGATCTGGCAGCCGACCGCCGACACACCCGTAATGGCGAGGATCATGAAGAGCACCGAGATCGAGACCAGCGTCACGACAATCACGCGCGGCATGCGCGTCGGGTCGCTGTGCTCGCGCTGGAGCGCAGGAATGACGACACCGGCGCCGTACGCAAGCGCGAGGTTGCCAAAGACGGCCGTGACACCCGAGAACGAAAGTTCGGGCGACGGCGTCGAGAGGTTCTTGGCTTCCGGCGTCGACATGTTGTCGATGAGCATGTAGATGGCAATGGCATCGGCAAGGATCGTACCGATGGCACCGGCCGCGGCCGCGCCAGCACCTTCCTTGAGGTTCGGGATGAGGCACACCGGGAGAAGCGAGATGGCCATGAGCACGATCCACGTCGAGTCCGGGTACGAGTCGGGGAAGAGCACGGTGAGGAGCGAGCCGCCGAGGACGAGGAACGCAATCGGCACGAGAAGGCACACGGCCATTTGCGAAATCACGGCCATCCAGCGACCGAGGCCGCCCATGCACCACTCGCCCATGTCACCAAACGTCTTGACGTTCTTGGGCGCCACCATCATGACCTTGGAGATGCACACCGTCGCGTACGTGTTGACGGTCGCCATGAAAATGAGCGCGATCGTCGCCCAGAGGTAGCCGGCGCGGGCGTAGTTGCCCGGCATACCAAGCGTGCCAATGCCGTAGACGACGCAGAAGAGCGAGAAGCACATCTTCATGTCTTCGCCAGTGAGGAACGCCATCCTGAGCTTGATCAAAGCGCGGCGAAATGGAAAATGATCAGACTGCTGACGCCGGCGTGCCGAGGACGTCTGAGTCGTTGCGGGCAAGCCGTGCCACGTGGTGGCGCGGATGTTTTGGTCATATCGTGGGCATGCACCCGGATTCGGCCAATCCGTGGGCGACATTGGAGGTAGCACCTATCCCTGCCGACTTGTGATTGGCGGCATCACCTTTTCACGGCGCAAATTGAAGTTGACCACATGCAGATACCACATGCCAAGTCACTTGTAGAAGCCAGCGGTGAATCAAGTTCGCCCGATCTTTGGCGCAGCGGTGCTTTGCAGGCTCTTGAGTACGGGTACAAGAACAAGTAGAGCGATCTACGGCACCGCAGATATTGTGCCTCCTCCACGTTTGAAGATAAAGGGTACCAGTACAGAGTAGCTACCTGGGTCTGCAGCCGCAGGCTCTCACGCAGAAAGAACTGTGTCCTATGATGTCGCCACTACTCACCCCTTAATGACAAACTAGTTCCTGTAGACGCTGGTATTGATCAATCATTTGCCCGTAATTTCGCTGTCGGTTTGTTTTGCCAAGGGATCTGCTGACGTAGCATTTGCATGGGCATCAAGGTCGTCACAGTGGTTTTACTTCGCTTGCTGAAGACGACCTTTGGATCTGCCATGATAATGACGACATGGTTTGATGTGGTCGTGCCATCGATGCAAAGAGACGTCGCGGAGCGTTAGCAAACGGCATTCGACGTATACTAGTTTCGGTGAGCGAGGTTAAAATCGAGAGTTGGTCGGATGAACCGATACGATGAATGAAAAAGCAACGGATCAGATTGCTACATTTATGTGGAAGACTTCAAAATTAGTGGTTTCTTTTTCTGTCGCATGATATAGGGCTGCGTAGCAATCTGGGGCATGTAGGTTATTGTATAATCGCAGGTGGCCGGCTAATCGGCCCATGTAAACGCTTCGTGACCCTATCGAGCCAACCTCGGAGGGGGAAGATTGCATGTGGAGGTACGAATCAAATCAGCCAGCATGGATCCTGCAAACTTCTCTAGCACGCTCGATAGTTGATGCTTTAAACGGGTTTGTTGGCTATTAGGTCGTGTTTGGTGCGACGTATTGTTCTTTTAGATCCAAGGCCTGCACAGATTTAGTGGTGGTTTGCTATGTAAACATCAGCAAAAGTCCGATTGATGCTTGTAAGACACCTGTTTCGTTACTGACATATTTTGATCAGAAAAGTCCGTTGTCGTCGCACCTCTGACGACTACGCCACTTGCTAGGACAAGCTTCAACAAATACACGGACAAGAATGTCGTGTGTTGCACCGTGATGGCAAACTCAGCACATTGATAGGTCACCGGATCTACAGCCGTGCCTCTATATAATTGCATTACTGTCCTGCATACCGGCATAGTGTATAGAGGAGAGCGAAATACCCTGGTGGCACCCATTTTCAGATCCTTCCATTTGTTCGAAGCGAATTTATCGAAGGAAAACAGGACCGTGGGTACATCCTTGCATCTATAGTCGAGTATATTCGATCGTTCGAACGATACTCGACGATCAAAATCAATATTGGTCAATCAGACGTCTACAAGTTTCTGGGAAGGAGATTCTTGGAGTAATGCTGCGTTTTCAGATTGTTGAATGATTGAAACAAAAACAGAGTCACCAGACGAATCATGCTTGGGCCTTTCCGCTTTAAAGTGCAGCAAGAAACAGTGCACACAAATCACCTTTGGTCCATAAATCGGGCCAAGATGCTTCGGCGAAACTGCATATGGTCAACTTCAATTTGCGCCGTGAAAAGGTGATGCCGCCAATCACAAGTCGGCAGGGATAGGTGCTACCTCCAATGTCGCCCACTGATTGGCCGAATCCGGGTGCATACCCACGATATGACCAAAACATCCGCGCCACCATGTGGCACGGCTTGCCCGCAACGACTCAGACGTCCTCGGCACGCCGGCGTCAGCAGTCTGATCATTTTCCATTTCGCCGCGCTTCGATCAAGCTCAGGATGGCATTCCTCACTGGCGAAGACATGAAGATGTGCTTCTCGCTCTTCTGCGTCGTCTACGGCATTGGCACGCTGGGCATGCCGGGCAACTACGCCCGCGCCGGCTACCTCTGGGCGACGATCGCGCTCATTTTCATGGCGACCGTCAACACGTACGCGACGGTGTGCATCTCCAAGGTCATGATGGTGGCGCCCAAGAACGTCAAAACGTTTGGTGACATGGGCGAGTGGTGCATGGGCGGCCTCGGTCGCTGGATGGCCGTGATTTCGCAAATGGCCGTGTGCATCCTCGTGCCGATTGCGTTCCTCGTCCTCGGCGGCTCGCTCCTCACCGTGCTCTTCCCCGACTCGTACCCGGACTCGACGTGGATCGTGCTCATGGCCATCTCGCTCCTCCCGGTGTGCCTCATCCCGAACCTCAAGGAAGGTGCCGGTGCGGCCGCGGCCGGTGCCATCGGTACGATCCTTGCCGACGCCATTGCCGTCTACATGCTCATCGACAACATGTCGACGCCGGAAGCCAAGAACCTCTCGACGCCGTCGCCCGAACTTTCGTTCTCGGGTGTCACGGCCGTCTTTGGCAACCTCGCGCTTGCGTACGGCGCCGGTGTCGTCATTCCTGCGCTCCAGCGCGAGCACAGCGAC